GACAGCGACAGGCGGCAGCGGGAGCGCAGCGGCTCGGCCCCTGGCGGGTTTTATGGGCTCGCAGCCCGAGCGCAGCGGCCCCTCGGCGCGCCGGTTGGCTCCTGCGGAGGAGGGCGGAGTGACACTCACAGGCACCCAGTTGGGGAGAGACCGAGAGGCTGGTTGGAGGAGTTGGGGTGGATGTCGGGGGAGGCTCAGGGAGGAGGGACAGAGCTGGCGGTGGACCAGGAACAGGGAGCGAGAGAAGCGGACGACTCGAGCAAGCACTCACCAGACGGTGGGACTCATGGACCCGTAGGCAGACATAACCTCATCTTCGCTGGTCCTGGAACCGTTGGACTGTCCCCCAAGACAGGTGCACAGCCCGGGGATGGGGTATGGCTACCCATCCACGTGGGAACTCTAAGACCAGCAGCGCTGTTGGGCGCCCCCTGTCATGGGCTCCTCGTTATACAAGAAGAGTCCAAAATCTGCCAGGGTGGCAGGTGGGTGAGGTAGGGCCCCAGACGGAGCCTTCAGTTCTTGGGAGGGACGTCTGACTGCAGACACTGGTGGGAGACTTGGATCCATAAAGGAGGGGAGGGGGAAAGAAAGCGAGGACTTGGGCAGAGAGGGGGCAATAGTGGTGACAGGAGGAAGGTGGGGATGGGAGGAGTTAGACCCAAGATGATGAGACCGGTGGATGGGAGAATCTGCCTCTGAAGGGGAAGTCTTAACCCGCAGCCTCCCCCCCCCAACCCCATCTTCCAACAGCAGTATCCTAAAGGCAGTTAACCACCCTGTGAGGTAGTAAACTGAAGCCCATAGAAATTAGATGACTTGCTTTAGCAAGATCACAGAACTAGTAAAGCAGGAGAGGCAGGACTAGACCCAGTGTGCTTTTTCGAGAGCAGACTTGACTAATATCCAGTATATGAGAACCACTGGTGCAGAGGGTACAAATAAAAATAAACCACCAGCGCCCGGAGCAAGCCTCCAGTTCAGCGGACAAAGCAGTGAGTGGTACTGGTTGTAGAATTCACTCTATTTTTAGGTGCATATAGGAGGTGGATCACTGGGACTCTCCAGAGCAGATTAGAAGTTCATTAGGAGTGACAACAGCCCGGTCTACCACACTCAGAAAGGGCAGGGTCCTTCATGGTGCCAGAGAGCCTCTTGTCTTGTCCTTTAATCATACCAGACCCCCACCCTTTACAGTATCACCCACACATCCAATTAACATCACATCTTGGAGAGTCTCCATCCTAAACAGTCTACACATTCATCTCCGCTTCATCCCCCTGCTGCAGTTCAAACACTCACCACTTCTCACCTAAAATACTGTAGCATCCTCCTTTTGTGCTCTGTAGCTGAAGCCCCAACTTCTCAAGGATTTTACTCTTTGTAAAAGATTATTTTAAGTCTCTTTACTGGATCATTCCCATCAGCTGGCAAACAAACTCTAGTGTTGAGCATTAAAAAATATGTATATATACATATATATATATACACATACATTTATATATATTTAAAAGCACACCTCAGACACTAGACCCCCACCTCCCACTGTTACAGTCTCTTCTCCTTCACAGCAAAACTCAAAAGGGCTGTCTGTGTCTGTCTCCATGTTCTTGCTCACAATCATTCACTTCTTGATGTATTCATTTTAAACTATATACATTATGTTTTTAAAATGTCCCATATTACATACATGATACCATACTCTATGTACCATTCTGGAACTTCCTTTTTAAATTCTATTTTATTTTTGAGATCTGTCCATGAGAATGCATTGGCTAGCTCTAGTTCATTCAGTGTAGACTGCATACTGCATACTCTTCAAGCATATGCATGTAACACATTTTATTTATTCATTACCCTGGGTTTTTTTTTAATGTTTTTCATTTTTATATATTTTTAAAGGTTATTTTCCATTGACAGTTATTACAAAATATTGGAGCTTTATTACCAATAGAGCAGAATTCCTTCCCCCTGCCCTCCTGTGGCGTCCCCTCCCCATGTTGTAAGCATCCCTGAGTGTATCTTACACTGAATAGTTTGTATCTCCCACTCCCCTGCACCTATATTTCCCCTCCTTCCACACTGGTAACCACTAGTTTGTTCTCTGTATCTGTGAGTCTGCTTCTTTTTTTGTTATATTCACTAGTTTGTTATATTTTTTAGATTCCACATATAAGTGATATCATACATTATTTGCCTTTCTCTGTCACTTAGCATCATGCCCTCCAATCATCTATGTTGTTGCTAATGGCAAAACTTCATTCTTTTTAATGACTGAGTAGTATTCCTGTGTGTGTGTGTGTGTGTGTGTACCACATCTTCTTTACCAGTCATCTATTGATGGACACTTTGATTGCTTCCATATCTTGGCAATTGTAAATGATGCTGCTGTGAACATGGGGGTGCATATATCTTTTTGAATGAGTGTTTTTGGTTTGTTTGGATATACACCCAGGTGTGGAATCGCCCAGTACCTTGTTTTTCTTATTTAGGTTATTTCCAGATTTTTTTTTGCTACTTATTTTTTCAATGCTACAATGAACATTCTTATATATGTTTCTTTGTGTTCATGTGTGAAAATTTCCCTCAGATGTACAACCAGAAGTATATGTTTGATATTAGTACTGTTAGTTCATACAATTCATGAATTTTCAATTAGATAGGCCCATATCTCAAAGTTTATCTCCAAATTTGTTGGGCTGATTCATTCTTCCGCCAGCTGCATTTGAGTTTCCTTCCCATCATCCTCATAGTCAGATTTTCAAATTTTCACCAATCTGATTGGTATGAAATAGCATCTCATTTTGCTTTTATTTTCTTTTTCTCTGATTACTAATTATTTGAGGTATCTTGCCATATATTTATTTGTTGTTTGGATTTCCTCTTCTGTGATTTGTTCATATCCTCTGCACAAATCTTTATTAGATGTTTTTACTTATCAGTTTGTCAGAAATCTCTGTATGTTCTGATATGAATCTTTTATGTATTCTAATATGTTGCAGGTATCTCCTCTTATCTGTCACTTTTAATTTTGTTTATAGGGTCATTTGTTACAAAGAAAATTTAAATTTTAATGTAGTAATGGTCCCAGCTCTGTCCCGGAGCGAGGAGGTTGTGTCGTTGGCTGATTCCGGGAGGTTCCAGACAGGATGAACAAGGTTGTTTGCAACAACTGTCTGGGGAAGAAGGTCCTTGTTAAGTGTAATATTGATGACACCATCAGGAACCTTAAGAAGCTGATTATAGCCCACACTGGCGCCTGTTGGAACAAGATCATATTGAAGACGTGGTACAGGATTTTTAAGGACCACATGTCTCTGGGGGACGATCCATGATGGGATAAACCTGGAGATTTATTACCAATAGAGTGGAATTCCTTCCCCCTGCCCTCCTGTGGCCTCCCCTCTTCTCCCACCCTCACCCCCCATACTAGTATAGATGCTTGTTTTTAAAAACTCCTGTTAATAAAATAATTGCTGGTATTTGAGAACAATATTGATTTTTGTAACTTGCTCTTAAATTCAGCAATTTTGCTGCACACTCTTATATTAGTAAATTACTTAGGCCTCTCTATGCATGTATTGTTGTCTGCAAACAACAATCATTTTGTTTCTTTTATTCTGAATCTATTCAGCTCTTATTTCCTTTTCTTGTCTTACTGTGATAGCTAAGACTCCACTCCAATGCTGAAAAGCAGGCATCATTGATTTCTGATGTTAATGAGAATGCTTCTGAAATTTCACCATTAAGTATTATATTTATGGTAGATCTTCTTCACTTTTTAATTTTTAAAATATACTTAATTTTTATAGGCACACAGCATAAAGAGTCAAATGATTCTATAGTGGAGTTATGAGAAAAGTAATCCCCCCACACTACCCCTGTTTTTTAAAATTCCCTAGAGGTAATAATTTCCTAGTTTTCATTTTAAGCATTATTTATTGATCTTTCTTTTGAGCACAACAACACAGACCCACTGCTCACATGCCTGTTTCCTGTACTCCCATCTTCCCAACAGAGTGATGGAATAGTGACCTGCGAGTTTCCATCTGAGACTGACTTTGTATGATCTGAAAGCTGAATCTTTAGAGAGTAATAAAAACTTCTAGAGCCTCTTGCCTAAAATATTGAAAAATTTAAGAAAGGTGTGATTCATCCTCAAATAATTTAATCCAATCCTTTAAAAAAAGGATTTGTTTCCATGGATTTGAAAGTTGGTTTCTGCATGACTAACTAGTAGACTAAGATGTGGAGAAATCAAATTGAAATTGTTAGATGTCACTTCAGTTAAAGAAGAAAGAAGGGCTCTTTTCCGATATTCAGCTTGAACATCCATCATGTTTTCAGGTATAGACCTGTCATGAAAAATAAAATTTATTTATATATTTATCATAGCTCTTCTCTTAATAATCTTCCATTTTGGCCAAAAGGGTGACCTAAAAGTCTTCCCCACGTTATTCCTGGCCTGTGAAGAGTGGGGGATGTCTGTGTCCCTCTTGTGCTGCACTGCGACCTTTGCAGAGGAAGTAGATGTGGGCCTTTTCTCCTGCAGACTCTGGGCACCTGACCTGCAGAGACCTCTTCTTGGTTGAGACTCAGAACCTCTCAGTGTGTTGAGCTACTTGTTGACATTTCAGAGAGATGCATGGTCCCTTGCCATCACACTCATTATCCAGCAGGCAGTGGCCTTTCTGCCTCCCTGGGTAACCCTTGATTCACTGCCCCATAAGTGTCTAGATGGAGGAAGTGGTCTGAGGAAGACGGGCCATTATGGAAACTAATGCATCTTTTACAGCCTTGGTGTCGCCATCGTCTTTCTGTTCAGTTGGTTTAACCCTAAGGTTGATGGAAAGCCAATGGATAAAAGGGGTTGGTGTAGAGGACAGGAGGGTCAGCTGAACCAGTGCTGATTTCAGGGACTCTCCCAAAGCCTCCACTGTGTCCCTCTCACCACAAAACACCTTGTAAAGTCGTAAAATGTTGGGGTTGAAAGGGACTTATATTTTGGTTCCGACTAAGAGGCTGAGGAGTGATGGAAAGGATGTCAAGGACCATCAAGTCCCATTCTCTCATGGTCCAGAAGAAAGTCCAACCTGAAAGCCAAAGACACAAGTGAGGTTCTC